TTCACTAGACCATTATAGCATTTATCTCCTTTTAACACCTTAACTTAAAGATCATTAAACAAACAACATAAAACTATAGGTAAAACTCACAGGTATTCAACACCACATCCTTAGTGCCTATCCTAGCACTAACCTCTTTATGTCTTCTTATCCCATTAAAAACAATTTGAAAGGCATACAACGATTAGACAAACCCACTACCACTTCCAGGCTCCCTATAGACAGTCCCAAATTTCATGCACTCTGACATCCTGGACTCCAAACCTTATGAAACCAACACAAATCTTGTTATAAAAAGGGCAGCATATCTAGCCTTTAATTAGAAATTCACTTTGATTTATCACTTTAGTGAATAATCCTGATAAAGAAAGTGAGAAAAGCTGGTTAACATTCATTAGACACAATTAGGCCCTGTAGAACTGGATACACAGTATCAAAGTAAATGTATTCAGAGTTATGTTATGGCTGGTACATAATCCAATTCGAACCGTGATGCGTAAAACGTGTTTTCATTGATGAAGCTTGGAATTTATTACCTTTCAGGACCCTGGACAGCATCCCAATATACCATTATAAACGTTACTAAGACTGATGCTTATAACGTCTTATATACAGTTGCAAGAAAAAGTATGTGAACCCTTTGGAATGATATGGATTTCTGCACAAATTGGTCATAAAATGTGATCTGATCATCATCTAAGTCACAACAATAGACAATCACAGTCTGCTTAAACTAATAACACACCAAGAATGAAATGTTGCTATGTTTTTATTGAACACACCATGTAAACATTCACAGTGCAGGTGGAAAAAGTATGTGAACCCCTAGACTAATGACATCTCCAAGAGCTAATTGGAGTGAGATGTCAGCCAACTGGAGTCCAATCAATGAGATGAGATTGGAGGTGTTGGTTACAGCTGCCCTGCCCTATAAAAAACACACACCAGTTCTGGGTTTGCTTTTCACAAGAAGCATTGCCTGATGTGAATGATGCCTCGCACAAAAGAGCTCTCAGAAGACCTACGATTAAGAATTGTTGACTTGGATAAAGCTGGAAAGGGTTATAAAAGTATCACCAAAAGCCTTGCTGTTCATCAGTCCACAGTAAGACAAATTGTCTATAAATGGAGAAAGTTCAGCACTGCTGCTACTCTCCCTAGGAGTGGCCGTCCTGTAAAGATGACTGCAAGAGCACAGTGCAGACTGCTCAATGAGGTGAAGAAGAATCCTAGAGTGTCAGCTAAAGACTTACAAAAGTCACTGGCAAATGCTAACATCCCTGTTAGCGAATCTACAATACGTAAAACACTAAACAAGAATGGATTTCATGGGAGGATACCACAGAGGAAGCCACTGCTGTCCAAACAAATCATTGCTGCATGTTTACAGTTTGCACAAGAGCACCTGGATGTTCCACAGCAGTACTGGCAAAATATTCTGTGGACAGATGAAACCAAAGTTGAGTTGTTTGGAAGAAACACACAACACTATGTGTGGTGAAAAAAAGGCACAGCACACCAACATCAAAACCTCATCCCAACTGTGAAGTATGGTGGTGGGGGCATCATGGTTTGGGGCTGCTTTGCTGCGACAGGGCCTGGACGGATTGCTATCATCGAAGGAAAAATGAATTCCCAAGTTTATCAATACATTTTGCAGGAAAACCTAAGGCCATCTGTCTACCAGCTGAAGCTCAACAGAAGATGGGTGTTGCAACAGGACAATGACCCAAAGCATAGAAATAAATCAACAACAGAAAGGCTTAAACAGAAGGAAATATGCCTTCTGAAGTGGCCTAGTCAGAGTCCTGACCTCAACCCGATTGATATGCTTTGGCATAACCTCAAGAAAGTGAATCACACCAGACATCCCAAGAATATTGCTGAACTGAAACAGTTCTGTAAAGAGGAATGGTCAAGAATTACTCCTGACCGTTGTGCACGTCTGATCTGCAACTACAGGAAACGTTTGGTTGAAGTTATTGCTGCCAAAGGAGGTTCAACCAGTTATTAAATCCAAGGGTTCACATACTTTTCCACCTGCACTGTGAATGTTTACATGGTGTGTTCAATAAAAACATGGCAACATTTCATTCTTTGTGTGTTATTAGTTTAAGCAGACTGTGATTGTCTATTGTTGTGACTTAGATAATGATCAGATCACATTTTATGACCAATTTGTGCAGAAATCCAAATCATTCCAAAGGGTTCACATACCTTTTCTAGCAACTGTATATACAGTATATGTATCAGTTTACCATCTGGAATTTTACTAAACAAATCCAGGATGTTCCCACTAAAACCTTGATTTAATTATTTTGGATAAACTTTTCAAAATGATCACGATCTACACCTGTGCAATAATCATGCTGTTTAATCAGCATCTTGATATGCCACACCTGTGAGGTGGATGGATTATCTCAGCAAAGGAGAATCGCTCACTAACACAGATTTAGACAGATTTGTGAACAATATTTGAGAGAAATAGGGCTTTTGTGTACATAGAAAAAGTCTTAGATCTTTGAGTTCAGCTCATGAAAAATGGGGGCAAAAACAAAAGTGTTGCGAGTTCGACATGCTTGGTGTAAAGCCTCATGCCGAAAATACCTTTTTTTTTTTTTTTTTTAGAACTACCACACAACCTCCCTTGTCTGTCTGACTTCAGTATAACAATACTGAAATCACGTTTAAGTGCTTTGATAGCCTAATGCTCAAGATTAGACAGATTAGCTATTTCTTTGTTTGTTTTATATTTTATAAAGTAAACGTACAATTAGCTAGACAACATATATCCTTTTCAACCAGTGAGCTTTATAGCTCAATTGTTTTACTGCTCAATTGTATGGGGTAAAAATTACTTTCATTTTTTCATTTATCACAAAGAGAATTACTGATACAACTCTAATCAATTACCTGTAAAACTTCATGATTACTATCGACGGCTAATGACTCTAAATTAAATTGACCCAGTTGATCTGAAAACACGGCTGGACTATCAGAGAGAACCTCATTAGAAGAAGAATTCAAAAGGCTATATTCCTCAGAAGTTAGCTGGGAGAAATGTCCAGAGAGCGTTAGTTTTCTAACAAACCAATTAACATCCACCACAGTGTGAAATAAACTGAAATCTTCACAATACAATTTGCTGTGCCACCGGACCACCAGGGAATCAAGTAGCCATCCTTCCTGCCCACAGGTAAGAGGCAGGGATCGGAGAATAAACAGAATTAAGTGGCTGTCACTAGAGGTGTTTCTATGCATGTGTCGGGATCCCGCGGGCGGCTGCGAGGGGAGGCTGCACTCCGCTCGCAGTACTCACCCTCCAGCCGTCCGCGGCCCCCTCCTCCTCGTGGGCTCGGCGAGCGGCATCCTTCCAGTCTCGGATGCCGCCCGCCGTTTCCTCCACGTCCCCCAGCGGCAGCATACATGACGCTGCACGCTGCGAGACCGCTCAAGTTATTACATGCCGGGGTCAGTCACCTGACCCGGCGTTAAAGGCACAGTGTCTCAATCACAGTGGGAGGTTTAGATATCTCCCACGTGTGATTGTTAATTCTGATTGGAAATTATCCAATCAGAATTAACCTTTTGGTTTAAATACTTACCTTTCCTGCTCCTCCCTGCCCTGTTGTGGTCTTTGCTTACTTGTATTGCTACTTACCTTGTGCTTCTGGTTACGTACTCTCTGGCTTGTTAATCTGACTTTGTGACTTTCTCCTACCCTTTGACCTCGGCTCGTTTTAACGTTATTCTGTCTTCTGGTTCCCCTTACTCGGCTTGTCTCCTGACTATTCTGTGTGTGCTTAGCCCGGCCACTCTAAGGTCCGGTACGGCACCTTTTCTGTGTGTGTGTGTTGGCGTGTTAGGTTCCCCGAATCGTGACAGCATAAATGTAAACACTGCCTTTTTTTCTGAAAAGGCAGCATGTACAGTACTCAGCCTGCAGGGACTACTTTGTTTTATGTATGTATTTTTCCTGTGCCTGAGACAAGGAAGAGTTTAAGTTCATTTCCTGTGTCAGTGAAAATTTTCCCACAATACTTACCCCCTCCATATTCTCACATGTACTCGATTAGCGATTTCGAACGTCCTGTCATTTAGACTAGGGTGCTGGCAAATTGACCGATTTCGTCTGAACCAAGTTTCGTATAATAGGAGCCCCATCATGTGGGCAAGGAGGACCTGTGCAAGGTCCCCCTTTATTGGATTTGGGGTGTCTTTTTTTTACAACTGTGTGCAGTCACTGGCTGCTCACTGTTTAGTAGATATGCCCCATCTCACAGCATAACGAGGCAGGGGTGGTCGGTACTTATAAGGTGCGAACAAGGGGACCACACAGAGTTGGTTCGATAAACAAATGGGGGTGTACGGACAACCGAACAAAAGGGAATAAAAGTATTAAGAGCGTCCATTCCGCTAAAAATAAAAGACTGGATATACCCCATTTTGAATACTCGGGGTTGTCTACTTTTACAAATAGCATGACATGATGGGGGTAATTCTCATTCATGGGCTGTCATATGGTCTCAAAGGCAACATAACTAGTCTGGCAAATTTCAGTGTGTTGGGCAAGCCTCATATTTGACCCTGTAACTTTCCAAAAAACCCTTAAACCTGTATGTGGCTGGCATCATTCAACTTGTCGTGTGATGGGATTTCAGCTAGGCCCAAAATTTAGTAGGCCTAAAATCTCCATGTGGCATATACAAGTACAGGTATCAGTTAGTTACGTGTAGCTAAGATACTGTCATCAATGTACTGAGCATGTGTGAGACCTGAAACCACATTCCAATCTCTCCTAGTTCCATATTGCCTGTCCATATAAGGTAATGCTGTAAATACTGTTTGTTGATTGGTGTAAGGATACAGATGGGGGATGTATAGTCTATAAAAAGCCTGTACTCCATGTGATTAGGGCTCAGACATTTTGGACAGGAGTTCAGCTGAGAGCCGATCGGTGAGAATAAAGACCTTTGCTTCCTGAACTGACCTGTGTCTGGACTCTCTGTGCGTGGCTTCTTCAGAGTTCCCCTATAACAATGCTGGTGCTTATTGGCCAGGAATTCATCGCAGGGACCGCCGAGACGGTGATATTTTACCCACCTCTCCACAGCAACACCCCTGGACCAATACTGCGTGGACTTCCTTTCGTCTCTGCGCCACTGGGCCTTCTTCGTCCAGGGGTGTCTTGGGTGTGTCCATCGATGAATTCTGATCCTGGGTCCAGGAACGGAAGGTAAACCCATTAGGGGTTAGATCTGTATTAGATGTATTGTATGTAGCATTCGTCTGATTGTTCGGTAGTTTTTAGTCCGTGTTCCATACGAATGAAAACTACCGAACCATCAGACCACCCCAGAGAGAAGTGTGCACCTTGTTAGGCTTTCACACTTTGTAACCACACGCTAATTGACCATACAATCGGTACTTTGTATATATATCTGGGTGGTCGCCGTTCGGCATCTTACACAAGAAAATCTCAGCGGTGTTTGGTCGTCGAGTGTCTGGAACTCAAATTGGACACTAAATCACCCGAACATCGCTGAGACCTCCAGAGCTCCATAACTCCCAAACGGAGGGGCCAACCAGCCCTTCATTCGGTGAACTAAATGTACCGAATAAGGGAATTCATACGAATACCGATTTGACGTTGGATGGCAAGTAATTCTATATGTTTTATCTCCCGAACAGAGACCGACCGCAAGGCCAAAACACATGGAGCTTTTTCTGGATACTACCTCCTGTGCGGTCGGTCAAATTGCCTCTTCCACCTAACTCCCGAACCCCTGGTCCGATCTGGGTGAATTTTGAATATGTTGGTCACCCAGATCAGGGCTACCAGGGGGTACCCCTTATATAATTATATCTGACTGTTTAGGGGTACATCCAGAAATTGGGTAAAACTGCAGTATGTATAAGTGGATTATGTGTCACACTGAGGGGAGGAGATGTGTGGGAGGTAACCATTACACTATTGGCTACTGTACAAATTAATGTGAATCCCTCCCTTGCAGGGGAGAAACCTTTAAAAGAAGGTTGTGTGATTAAAAGTTTAGTTCTGCTCCTGATGCTGTGTGTCGTCCAGTCATTGGGATATTCGTAGATTACCTTGCTTGCTGTGACTATTGTTATATGGGATTGTATTACTTGTTCCTGAGCCTCACTGGGATCTTTAGTGGAGATAACCTGTGAAATACCAGCTCTCCGCTACATATACATACTACAGAATACTACCGTGGACACAGTGTGCTGCTACTTATTTATTAACATACTGACATTACAGAGTAAACTTTTATTTGTAAATATATATATATTTTGATTGTTTTGTGTTATCATCTTTTCATCCTCCATATCCTACACCAGGGGTAGGCAACCTTTTAGCAGCACCGTGCCAATATAGGATTGTGATGTCCCGTAGCGTGCTGATCCTATTTTTTTTTAAATTGAGGTGTGTATGCTGCCGTATTCTGCTTGTTATTTTTACTGTAATTGCTTTGTATCATTGTATTTGTGCGTATATGAGCTATTATACTGTATATGTTCATGAGTAGTTTATGGTATCGTGTATGATACATATGAATGTGGGCTGTGTATGAGGGCTGCTTGTGGACTTGTGTGTGAATGGATTTGTCACATTGTGTGTTTGGTAGTGTGTGTATGTGTGGGGCTGTTTGGGGTATTGCACGTGAGAGGCTGCGTGCGTGGTTGTGTGCATGTATGTGGATTGTTAGTGGTGTTGCGTTTGTGGGGATTGTCAAGGACAGGAGCTGCGATAGCTGTCGAGGGCTGCTTTACTACAGTGTGGATTCCTATTCACAAGTGCTTGGAGGAAGTGATCTGAGATCACTTCCTCTATGTGCTGCAATGCATAAATTGAGGATTGTCCTTCACCACCTCTTCGTATTAGCAGATATCTGAAGTTTTACTGGGACTCCTGATAGGCCAGAGTGCGTTTGGCTCTAGCAGCCTTGAGTGCTGTGCAAAGACACCTCGAGTGCCGTTGCTGGCACTAGTGCCGTAGGTTGCCTACCCCTGTCCTACACGGTATATACATCTCAATGTGCTTTTCCCTTGATGCTTGTTATTAAGCACAGTCTGGTTTTGTCTCCATCTAGTGGCAACATTTGTAATTGTTTCCACTTGTATCTCTCCTTTTTTTCTCCATATTAAAAGTTAAGTCTAAATTATTCATTCACCATACTCTTGGGCCAAGAGCTAGTTCTTTTCGCCTCTTATTGTTGATCCTTTGTCTTGCATGCTAAAGAACTTTTCTAAGGGATATTCTATTTAGGATTACGGTGTAATGCTATCCCCCAAAAGGTTGAATACTGTGTGCAACAGAGAATGGCCAAATGGCCTCCACGTGGCAGTCTTGATCCAGATCTAGTGCAGCAAGTCTATACAGTCATAACTAATAGGCCGGGACTTTATGATCAGTTTACGTATATAGATATTTGGAAACAGATTGTTGAAAAACAGCCTAAATGGATCAAGCTGTGCCACGAGGAACAATGCCACCTCATGGTAGCTAGAAATCGCCTGTCCAGTAAGGCCTCAACTCCACCTATTTTGGACACTCCTCCTGAAAATGACCTACCCTTACCGCCCCCTTACTCCTCCTCCCGAGCTAGAACCGGTGCAGCTGGTAATTCCATTTCCCCTGCCCCATTGTCTCCGCCTACCCACATACCTACATCAGATATCAGCCCTCTTGCCTTAAGCCCACGCGTCTCTGCACCTACCCCCACTGGTTCTTTGTACCCTGAATTGGCAACCTTTTTAGTTACTGGACAGGCCCCTCCCAGCCTTGACTGAGATATTCCATTAACTAAGTTACCAACTGATATGCCTGATTTGCCTTCCTCTGTCCATCTGACAACCCCCCAACTGGAACCTGTTAAATCACAGTGTTCTACAAATGTCCGTAGTCCCGTTTTAACACACACGACGACTGGTACCCTACAACCCCGGCATTTACAGATGCCTCTCCGACTTACTCCTGGCCCAACACACATTGATGACAATGGCCAGTTGCAATTGGGAGATCTGGAATTTGTATAGTTACGCTATTGTCCTTATACCAGCACCTCTGTCCCAATGGTGTATAAAACTCAGGAGAAGGGGTGGCTGAAAACTGAACCTGGTAAATACTTGAAGAATAATTGGTATCAGTTAGAAGATGGAAGAATAGTTGTTCCTGCACCTCTGGCCATAGAAATTGTTCAGAACTTTCATATCGGTACACACTCGGGAAGAGATAATACGGAAGACTCTCTCAGCAAACATTTCTATATACCAAGATTATCTAATCTTTCCTAAGCTATTGCCAGGAGATGTGTACAGTGTGCCCAGTTAAGCATCCTGGAGTTCAGTATATGTTCTATAGGGTCTGATAATGGTCCAGCTTTTGTTCATCAATGTCTGCAACAACTAACTCATGTACTTGGTATTAAGTGGTGGCTACATACTGCTTATAGACCTCAGAGCTCTGGAAAGGTGGAAAGAATAAACAGAACAATAAAGACTCAGTTAGCTAAAGTGTGCCAGGAAACTCAGCTTAAATGGAATGTTCTTTTGCCAGTAGCATTGTTGCATATTTGTAGTAGTCCCACCAGAAGGATGGGACTGTCTCCATTTGAAATCATGTATGGGCATCCACCACCCATACTTAGCCAAACCACGAGGGGATTTATGCCAGTTGGGCGACGGCATTACTCGGCAGCAGGTTGTGGAGTTGGGTAAAACTATGGAGGAGGTACAGAAATGGGTGCAAGATCGGTTACCTGTGAATATATATTCACCTGTTCATTTTTATCATCCAGGTGACCAAGTATGGATAAAAGAATGGAATACTGTTCCCTTGGGCCCTAAATGGAGAGGTCCTTATACTGTTCTTTTGTCTACCCCAACAGCTGTAAAGATGGCGGACGTGACTCCCTGGATCCATCACTCTAGGGTTAAAACAGTGGCAGATTTTTGGAAAGCTACCCCAGATCCTGATAATCCTTGTAAGATCCGGTTGAAGCAAACTACCCAGACCCTGAAGCTTGATTAAAGTGACATAAGGAAGTACGAGACGATTTTCAAAAACCGTGGTAGAGAAAGATTTCAGAGAGCTGCAAGTAGGTGTTTTGACGGCCATAATAAAGCCTGACCACCTACCAACGTCCCATAGCTAGAGTGTCTCGAAGGGACCTCTCTGAAGGGAAGAGAGGATCAGACGGACAACACTCCCTGTAAAAAGTGAAAGTGGTTTGTGTGAAAGTGGTTTGTGTGATATGAAAGTGATTTATGTGAAAGTGATTTATTTGTGTGATATGAAAGTGGTTTATGTGAACGTGATTTATATGAAAGTGATTTATATGAAAGGGATTTATTTCTGTAATGTGAAAGTGGTTTATGTGAAAGTGATTTATGTGAAAGTGATTTATGTGAAAGTGATTTGTGTGATATGAAAGTGGTTTATGTGAAAGTGATTTATTTCTGTAATATGAAAGTGATTTATGTGAAAGTGGTTTATTTCTGTAATGTGAAAGTGGTTTATGTGAAAGTGGTTTATTTCTGTAATGTGAAAGTGGTTTATGTGAAAGTGGTTTATTATGTGAAAGCGGTTTCTAATGTGAAAGCGGTTTCTAATGTGAAAGCGGTTTCTAATGTGAAAGTGGTTTATTTGTGTGATATGAAAGCGGTTTATAATGTGAAAGCGGTTTATGTGAAAGTGGTTTATTTGTGTGATATGAAAGCGGTTTATGTGAAAGTGGTTTATGTGAGAGCGGTTTATAATGTGAAAGCGGTTTATAATGTGAAAGCGGTTTATAATGTGAAAGCGGTTTATAATGTGAAAGTGATTTATGTGAAAGCGGTTTATAATATGAAAGCGGTTTATTATGTGAAAGCGGTTTATAATAATGTGAAAGCGGTTTATAATAATGTGAAAGCGGTTTATAATGTGAAAGCGGTTTATAATATTGTGAAAGCGGTTTATAATAATGTGAAAGCGGTTTATAATAACGTGAAAGCGGTTTATAATATTGTGAAAGCGGTTTATAATAATGTGAAAGCGGTTTATAATAATGTGAAAGCGGTTTATAATAATGTGAAAGCGGTTTATAATATTGTGAAAGCGGTTTATAATAATGTGAAAGCGGTTTATAATAACGTGAAAGCGGTTTATAATATTGTGAAAGTGGTTTATAATAATGTGAAAGCGGTTTATAATAATGTGAAAGCGGTTTATAATAATGTGAAAGTGAAAGCTGTGAGTGTCTGTCCTCCATGGCGGCTGCTGACAGACAGAGCATGGCCGCCGCCGGTCACTGCATGCTGCTCCTCACCCTGCTCTGCTCTCCAGTCACCGCTCTGGAGCCATTGAGCACGGGAGCCGTCATCCTGGGCACGGGCTCGGTGCTGTACGGTCTGTACGTGGCTCTCCCGGGGTTAAAGTGCTATGTGAGCCGCTGCTGCGGGGAGGAGAGGCCGTTCAGCGCTTATGGTGAGATACCGGGCACGGCCTGAGGGGGGCAGCAGAGAGACAGACATTCCCCGAGTCACAGCCTCCAACATTGCGTCCCCCTCCCAGACTGACAGCCGCAAAACCCCGCCCCTAATATATTCATAGAGCAACCCGTCAGCCCCGCCCATTAATATGGCCACGATGCAACACATAGTCCCGCCCCTCAATACAATCACATTACAGATAGCCCCGCCCTCAATATAATCACATTACAGATAGCCCCGCCCTCAATATAGTCACATTACAGATAGCCCCGCCCCTTCATATATTCACATTGAAGATAGCCCCGCCCCTTAATATATTAATATTGCGACATGACAGTTGCTCGGGTCCAGTTTATACTACTGCCTGCCTGATACTGAGACAGGCTGACTGTTACTCAGAGACTGTTACTCTACTCAGAGAGACAGATACTGAGAGACTGTACCATACTCAGAGAGACAGACAGTGAGAGACTGTACCATACTCAGAGAGACAGACACTGAGAGACCGTACCATACTCAGAGAGACAGACACTGAGAGACCGTGCCATACTCCGAGAGACAGACACTGAGAGACTTGCCATACTCCGAGAGACAGACACTGAGAGGCCGTACCATACTCAGAGAGACAGACACTGAGAGACTTACCATACTCCGAGAGACAGATACTGAGAGACTGTACCATACTCAGAGAGACAGGCACTGAGAGACAGACACTGCGAGACTGTACCATACTCAGAGAGACAGGCACTGGGAGACTGTACCATACTCAGAGAGACAGGCACTGGGAGACTGTACCATACTCAGAGAGACAGACACTGAGAGACCGTACCATACTCAGAGAGACAGACACTGAGAGACCGTACCATACTCAGAGAGACAGACACTGAGAGACCGTCAGAGAGACAGACACTGAGAGACCGTACCATACTCAGAGAGACAGACACTGAGAGACTGTACCATACTCAGAGAGACAGACACTAAGAGACCGTACCATACTCAGAGAGACAGACACTGAGAGGCCGTACCATACTCAGAGAGACAGACACTGAGAGACCGTACCATACTCAGAGAGACAGACACTGAGAGACCGTGCCATACTCAGAGAGACAGACACTGAGAGACTTGCCATACTCCGAGAGACAGACACTGAGAGGCCGTACCATACTCAGAGAGACAGACACTGAGAGACTTACCATACTCCGAGAGACAGATACTGAGAGACTGTACCATACTCAGAGAGACAGGCACTGAGAGACAGACACTGCGAGACTGTACCATACTCAGAGAGACAGGCACTGGGAGACTGTACCATACTCAGAGAGACAGGCACTGGGAGACTGTACCATACTCAGAGAGACAGACACTGAGAGACCGTACCATACTCAGAGAGACAGACACTGAGAGACCGTACCATACTCAGAGAGACAGACACTGAGAGACCGTGCCATACTCAGAGAGACAGACACTGAGAGACCGTACCATACTCAGAGAGACAGACACTGAGAGACTGTACCATACTCAGAGAGACAGACACTAAGAGACCGTACCATACTCAGAGAGACAGACTCTGAGAGACTGTACTATACTCAGAGAGACAGGCACTGAGAGACTGTACCATACTCAGAGAGACAGACACTGAGAGACTTACCATACTCCGAGAGACAGATACTGAGAGACTGTACCATACTCAGAGAGACAGGCACTGAGAGACAGACACTGCGAGACTGTACCATACTCAGAGAGACAGGCACTGGGAGACTGTACCATACTCAGAGAGACAGGCACTGGGAGACCGTACCATACTCAGAGAGACAGACACTGAGAGACTGTACCATACTCAGAGAGACAGACACTGAGAGACTGTACTATACTCAGAGAGACAGACTCTGAGAGTGAGAGACTGTACCATACTCAGTGAGAGAGACACATAGAGACTGTACCATACTCAGAGAGATAGGCACAGATAGACTCAGAGAGACAGACTCTGAGAGACTGTACCATACTCACAGAGATAGGCACTGGGAGACTGTACCATACTCAGAGAGACAGACACTGAGAGACTTACCATACTCAGAGAGACAGACACTGAGAGACTGTACTATACTCAGAGAGACAGACTCTGAGAGTGAGAGACTGTACCATACTCAGAGAGAGAGGCACATAGAGACTGTACCATACTCAGAGAGAGAGGCACATAGAGACTGTACCATACTCAGAGAGATAGGCACAGATAGACTCAGAGAGACAGACTCTGAGAGACTGTACCATACTCACAGAGATAGGCACTGGGAGACTGTACCATACTCAGAGAGACAGACACTGAGAGACTTACCATACTCAGAGAGACAGACACTGAGAGACTGTACCATACTCAGAGAGACAGACACTGAGAGACCGTACTATACTCAGAGAGACAGGCACTGAGAGGCCGTACCATACTCAGAGAGACAGACACTGAGAGACTATACCATACTCAGAGACAGACACTGAGAGACTTACCATACTCAGAGAGACAGACACTGAGAGACCATACTATACTCAGAGAGACAGGCACTGAGAGGCCGTACCATACTCTGAGACAGACACTGAGAGACTGTACCATACTCAGAGAGACAGACACTGAGAGACTGTACCATACTCAGAGAGACAGACTCTGAGAGACTGTACCATACTCAGAGAGACAGACACTGAGAGACAGACACTGCAAGACTGTACCATACTCAGAGAGACAGACACTGAGAGACCGTACCATACTCAGAGAGACAGACAATGAGAGACTGTACCATACTCAGAGAGATAGGCACAGATAGACTCAGAGAGACAGACTCTGAGAGACTGTACTATACTCAGAGAGACAGGCACTGAGAGACTGTACCATACTCAGAGAGACAGACACTGAGAGACTGTACTATACTCAGAGAGACAGGCACTGAGAGGCCGTACCATACTCAGAGAGACAGACAATGAGAGACCGTACCATACTCAGAGAGACAGACACTGAGAGACCGTACCATACTCAGAGAGACAGACACTGAGAGACCGTACCA